ATCTTTTCTACTTTTATTCTATAGATTCTCGACTTTCAACTTTTCAAGTAACGCAATTCAAATTAAAACATTCTTTATTTTCTATTAAACTGCCACAGTTTACTGCAGTTTTATAGTTTACTACATTTTCAACCAACTAAAATACACACACTTTAGAAAAAACAAGAGTAAAGCCACAAACTTACCAACAAATTCTCCAAACTTCCAAGAAATGAAATATAAACTTACACAATTATTCACCCCGACAACGCTATTAAAAAGCGTTCCGTTGCCACCAAAAAAAGAAACACAGAAATCCATGCTCCCCGGATATCATTCTCATAATAAACCCGAAAAATCACGCCCCTGTCAGGGTGTTCGAGTACAAAAAGGTAGTTCGGGGTGAGTATAAATGGGAGGGGATGTTGAACGTAATTCATGGGGCTGGTCCCGTGTGACGAGGACGCGTCTCGGTGATAGGCACAGCATGTCGGGATCTTACAACGCGTGCATTAGGTGTAGGTATACAGGCAGCACCTACGGGTCTGCAGGTATTACGTTACAATGCCTTTATGTAACTCCCGTGTGCCACCATTGTGGATCTCGTTGTGACGTATGGTTAACCACCAACCATAACCAACCAAATGTTCGCACGTCCTAAACCGTGTACGGCTACTGCCTTATATGTGGATGTATTGTATACAACTCTCCTGTGTGTTCCAAGGATCAAATACGGAGAGGATCGCTTTTGGAATACGATTAACGGTATGGTTGGATCATTTTCAAATATTTTCATTTTTAATACTTTTATAACTTGTTTGGTCTGTTAGAACTGGTGGGCTTTGGTAACTAATTTGGACTGGGATTATTTTTAGAACTGATGGATCTGAACTGATGGAGGTTTCTGGCTGGGGGTCTAATTTCCAAATATTTTAATTTTTAATATTTTTGTAACTTGTTTGGTCTGTTATTACTGGTGGGCTTTGGTAACTAATTTGGACTGAGATTATTTTTAGGACTGATAGATCCGAACTGATGGAGGTTTCTGGCTGGGGGTCTAATTTCCAAATAATTTAATTTTTAATATTTTTGTAACTTGTTTGGTACGTTATAACTGGTGGGCTAGTTTGGTAACTAATTTGGATTGTTGGATCATTTTTAGGACTGATGGATCCGAACTGATGCATGTTTTTAGCTAGTGGACTATTTTTAATTAGTTGACTGTGTAGCAAGAAATTGGTAAATTTGAGTAGTTGGGAAAATTGAAATTTAAGGGTTGAAATGGGGTATTGCAGAATTGGACAAATTTTGGAAGTTCAGAGATGTGGAAATTAACAAATTAGAAAATGTGAAAATGGGGTAGTTAGGAAATTTGGGGAAGTGGAAATGTGGGAAAATGGATATTTGATGGGCTGAAAATTTAGTGAGTTGGAAACTTGTGGAGTTGGAAATTTGGGAGTTGGAAACTTGGAGAGTTGGAATTTGGAGAGCTGAAAATTTGAGGAGTTGGAAACTTGAAGAGTTGGAATTTGGAGAGCTGAAAATTTTGGTGAGTTGGAAACTTGTGGAGTTGGAAATTTGGGGAGTTGGAAAGTTGGAGAGTTGGAAACTTGGAGAGTTGGAATTTGGAGAGCTGAAAATTTGGAGAGTTAGAAACTTGAAGAGTTGGAATTTGGAGAGCTGAAAATTTTGGTGAGTTGGAAACTTGTGGAGTTGGAAATTTGGGGAGTTGGAAACTTGGAGAGTTGGAAACTTGGAGAGTTGGAGTTGGGAGAGCTGAAAATTTGGAGAGTTGGAAACTTGAAGAGTTGGAATTTGGAGAGCTAAAAATTTGGAGAATTGGAAACTTGAAGAGTTGGAATTTGGAGAGCTGAAAATTTGAGGAGCTGGAAACTTGGAGAGTTAGAATTTTGAGAGTTGAAAATTTGGAGAGTTGGAAACTTGAAGAGTTGGAATTTGAAGAGCTGAAAATTTGAGGAGTTGGAAACTTGGAGAGTTGGAATTTGGAGAGTTGAAAGTTTGGAGAGTTGGAAACTTGAAGAGTTGGAATTTGAAGAGCTGAAAATTTGAGGAGTTGGAAACTTGGAGAGTTGGAATTTGGAGAGTTGAAAGTTTGGAGAGTTGGAAACTTGAAGAGTTGGAATTTGAAGAGCTGAAAATTTGAGGAGTTGGAAACTTGGAGAGTTGGAATTTGGAGAGTTGAAAGTTTGGAGAGTTGGAAACTTGAAGAGTTGGAATTTGAAGAGCTGAAAATTTGAGGAGTTGGAAACTTGGAGAGTTGGAATTTGGAGAGTTGAAAGTTTGGAGAGTTGGAAACTTGAAGAGTTGGAATTTGAAGAGCTGAAAATTTGAGGAGTTGGAAACTTGGAGAGTTGGAATTTGGAGAGTTGAAAGTTTGGAGAGTTGGAAACTTGAAGAGTTGGAATTTGAAGAGCTGAAAATTTGAGGAGTTGGAAACTTGGAGAGCTGAAAATGTGGAGAGTTGTTAACTTGAAGAGTTGGAATTTGATAACCTAAAAATTTGCGTGGTTAAATATTTAGAAATCCAAAAGGGTACACTGCAACCACCAATCTCAGTTCTCCATAAAATCATAAACAGTAAACGTATATCATGACAGAGATTCAGCAGCTGGTCAAGCGAAAAAGGCAACCCCCGAACGTTACACGATGTAACCACGAACCCCCCATCCCTTTTAAAATGGTGACGCGTTATATCTTGGTGACTCGTACAGATGGCTTTGTTGTACTGGCAAGCCCTTGCCCTTTAACCGCTTGGCCACCGGTGCAATATATGTAGCCTGACCGACCCACCCCTAACATCCCTTCTGTACGGGCTCCTCCACGAGCGTGTACGCCAATGGGGCGAGTAAATGGGCATCCAAGGCGTCCAGCCGCTTCCGAACATCTCTGTCATTATGTCGGCGGCCTTGTTACGGTGACTGGTGTTGAATCCACGGTTAGACCGACCATGCTTTGCCACGATGTGGATTAAATGATTTTCGAACGAGGGGGGCGTGTCGGGTAAATAAACTCCCGTCGCGAGAGAGGCTGGGGAGGGGTGCCTTGTTCTTTTATACTCCGATCGGTTGATGCTGCTTGAATTAGGTTATATGCAGCGATTTTGGGGAATCGGAAATGTTAATTGTTTTAGGAATTTGTATGGGGAGAATGGGGTGAATTTGTTTGGGTGGAAGAAGCTTTGAAAGGGTTTTGTAAGGACAAATTTCTAAATTTTGTTTTACTGAATTTTCTACTCTCGAATTTCTTACTTCTTAATTTTCTTCTCTCAAATTTTCTATTTCCTAATTATCTACTCTCTAATTTCCTGTACTCAAATTTCCTACTCCCAAATTTCCAAGTCTCCTACCTTCAAATTTCTTATACTCCCAATTTTCTAATTTCCAAATTAGCGAATCCCCACATCCCTAAACCCTCGAATCCCTAAATCCTTAAATCCCTAAATTTTCAAATTCCTAAATCTTCAAATCCCTAAGTCCCCAAACTCCTAAATCCCTAAATTCCTAAATCCCCAAATTCTCACACCCCAAATTCCCACTCTCCAAATTCCTAAATCCCCAAATTCTCACACTCCAAATTCCCACTCTTCAAATTCCTAAATCCCCAAATTCCCACTCTCCCCAAATTCCTAAATCCCCAAATTCTCATTCCCCAAATTACCACTCTCTAAATTCCTAAATCCCCAAATTCTCATTCCCCAATTTCTCACTCCCCAAATCCCTAAATCCCCGAATACCCACTCTCCAAATTCCTAAATCCCCAAATTCTCACACCCCAAATTCCCACTCTTCAAATTCCTAAATCCCCAAATTCCCACTCCCCAAATTCTTAAATTCCCAAATTCTCATTCCCCAAATTACCACTCTCTAAATTCCTAAATCCCCAAATTCTCATTCCCCAATTTCTCACTCCCCAAATCCCTAAATCCCCGAATACCCACTCTCCAAATTCCTAAATCCCCAAATTCTCACACCCCAAATTCCCACTCTTCAAATTCCTAAATCCCCAAATTCCCACTCCCCAAATTCCTAAATTCCCAAATTCTCATTCCCCAAATTCCCACTCTCCAAATCCCTAAATCCCCAAATTCCCACTCCCCAAATTCCTAAATTCCCAAATTCTCATTCCCCAAATTCCCACTCTCCAAATCCCTAAATCCCCAAATTCCCACTCCCCAAATTCCTAAATTCCCAAATTCTCATTCCCCAAATTCCCACTCTCCAAATCCCTAAATCCCCAAATTCCCACTCCCCAAATTCCTAAATTCCCAAATTCTCATTCCCCAAATTCCCACTCTTCAAATTCCTAAATCCCCAAATTCCCACTCCCCAAATTCCTAAATTCCCAAATTCTCATTCCCCAAATTCCCACTCTCCAAATCCCTAAATCCCCAAATTCCCACTCCCCAAGTCCCTAAATCCCCATATACCCACTCTCCAAATTCCTAAATCCCCAAATTCTCGCTCTCTCAAAAACTCAACCCCCCAAATTCCCAAATCTCCAAACTCCAAAGTTCGCAAAAGTTCAAATTACAATAAAAGTAACCTCCACTCCTGCGAATGAGATATTCCTGCACTTCGCCATTTTCCCCAGGGAGGTTGGCCATCCGGTATATTTTCTGACTGAATCGTTCCCGAGTTTGAAAGCACAGAAAGGAAGAGTGAATAGCATAGCAAACTACTTTGAAACAGATTGATCGAAACAGACGCATCTATCAAACAAGCCACAGCTTTCGTGTCAAGAACATCCGACAGATTGGTGGTTGAATTCTATATGGTTAGGGTGACAATAGGGTGGGAAACGTTCGCTTCGTTAAATCATTACCGAATCCTTTTTCTCGCGTAACGAACGAGCGTGTGAAACGATCGATAAAATATCATAGCTTCTTTAACTAATTTCATTGAAATTTTAATGAAACTTGAGAGTCATTTATTTAAATTATCATAGCTAATTTAAATTGTTATAGTTAATTTTACAAGGTGACATGTTATTAAACATTGCAGACGGAGGTGGAGGACATGACGAGCGAAGGTGTCTGCGAAGGTAGCGGTCCAAATCTGGCCGTTGCCGAGGGCACAGGTAGCCTAATAGGACCGGAAGTATCGCCGAGCGGAATGGAATGCGGCGGATGCGGAGAAAGAGTTCGCGAACGCACTGTTTTATGCGTCGGTGGTCGAACTTGGCACTCGAGGTGTTTAAGGTGTTTCGCCTGCGCCAGACCTCTTCACGATCAACATTCTTGCTTCCTCAAGGGCATGAGACTCTATTGCAGGCACGACTACGCTCTGTAAGTGACATACCTTTTTCGCTCATAATTAGCCCATGCAAATTACTGCCAGAATAAGTGCTTCGACTTATTTCTTCAAAAATTTATAATTAACATGGATACAAGGCAGATACTGTCATGATGTGTTCATGATTATGATGTGGCGTCATGATCAACATGTAGACACATTCACGATTACTATGTGATCATGATCAAGATGTGGACATACTCATGATTAAGATGTAGATACATTCTCTATCATTTTAAAATGCTTCTTTGTTCAAGTACCAAACCTTCATAATTATATGTCATGTACACACATGAACATACATATCAAATACACAGAAACACTACCTAGTTATCAGAAATATGTGATGGTAGCTGTTTCACATCACAAGTGTAACATTCGATAGCGATCCATATAAAGTGCGACTTTATAAAAGTCAAGAACCAGTTGTTACATACATAACAAAATGTCCCTTGAAGTTACATCAAAAAGTTAGATTAGAAAAGTTGGTTGGGTTATATCAATTTCTGAAGCACTGTGTGTAGCATTCAGATATTTCGCAACGACACGATGGTTCTCAGCGATGATAGTGGTCGGACATTTTCGAGCCGAACGTCTCTCAAAGTCGTGTATATGCGGGAGGTCCGCAGGAATTCGCCGTGTAACATTTTTGACTGGTACTTTTCGCCTCGTAATGCTGCCTTACGATGACCTGGTCGACAGGATCCATGAACCGTAGACCCGTCGACAAGCGACTCGGAAAGAAACGGAGCCACTTTTTGGATCTACGGACCGCGTGATAAATGATCAGAAAACTATACCGCGACTCCGAAGCGGCGAGAATCGGGGACACCAAACGTTTCGTTCGATTGAAATGTTGATACAATGTGATCTAATTAATACCATTGATAGGCAGATTAATGCGCTTCGAAATGGTTAAAGAGGTTGGATTAGATGAAGAAAAGGGAGAACAATTAGGTCCATGAGAAGCAAAATATTCAGCGTTGGAAATATGAACTTTATGAAGTTTAATACACTATACGGATTATAATGTTATTTTTTCTTATAATATTTAACTATACAAATGCGTTTATGAGTTTGTGCGCATGTGCATGAGCAATATGGCGTAGACTGCAGGACTTACGATGAATTTATATTTTATATTAATAATTGCAAGCTTGATAAACGTATTAGTGTTCTTCTTTAACTATGAATGAATTTAAGACTATTAGAAAACTGAAGTTGCGAGTAATCCTGTAAGAAGCTCTCAGCAGGGATTAGTTTCGGTTCTTTTTGATTTGGACACGTCTCCCATAGGATCTACATCGATTCGACATTCAAATCCCTTCCTAGAGATCCCTGTGGGCGAGTGGACCTCGTGCAACCGTTGTGAATTAATAGTTTGCTAAGAGACAATAGGATTAAAACGCATTCCTTATCTACCCTTTATGAATTCATAACGAGTATAGATTTCTGCAGGAAACATGTAGATCGAATCTCTGAAGATTTATAAAATGAATGAAAAAATTGCAAGTTCACTTAAATCAACATTTGTTCTCACATTACCTGCATCGCAAATGTGTTCATTAAACCTTGAGGAATGAAAAAGGAAGCAAAGTATGATACATATAATCTACATATAAATTTCCGAACAAAGTTGTACGCATCCCACACGGGACAATCAGTTCCATTAGTCAGTTGAAAATAGTTGGCACGAATATCTGTTCCGAGCTAGGAATGCCCTCTTAATCGTCGCGGAACGCAAAGGAACAGCTAGCATTGCTAGTGGATCTAGGCGTCTGTTAGTCGATACTTTCTCTGTTTCGTATGGGGTGGTGGGGCCACCGGGGTAGTCGCGTGGCCCCATAAGATATCTTGGCTATGGACGCAGAGGGACGAAGGGGTTTGCAAACACAGCCTGTATAAACAGCTAGGTGGATCGTTGCCGTAGGAACCGGACGAGGAATCGGGATGCACTTTCCGTGTTCATGAATATGATAATGGGCTAATGGCCACTAGTCGTTGTTTAATTACCGGTCACAGCAGCGCACAACCGACCACACCGGACCCGGCCGTGAAGTCGCACACCGTCGCGTCGTGCTTCTGCTCGTCGTTTAGCAACGGACGCTCCTCTTGGTTTGCTTCTTGGGACCGTTGCTCTCTCCTTGCACCCATAACACCCACCGTTCCTCCAGCCATTCATCTGCTCGAGCGTGCATGCGTCGTGTAGCGTGCTCGTGTCTTGCCGTTACACGGCTACCGTTTACACCGGCCTAACTCCCAGCTTTTTCACAGAACTACCGAGACCGAGACTACCTACAGGCTCATTTCTTAGCATTCGATTAGATCTTGTACTAGAAGATTCGAAAAACAACCGAGCATTTTATTTCCATCTATGCGATTTGAATTTACCGCCACTCTTTTGCCGCCATTTTTCAACATCGACATCTTTGCACTTCCTTGTTAGTTTGTTTCTTCTTTTCATTTATCACTTTCTCTTTTGTGGAACATTTTAGTCCTATCATTGCAATTTGAATTTACCGCCACTCTTTTGCCGCCATTTCTCAACATCGACTACATCTTTGCACTTCCTTGTTAGTTTGTCTCTTCTTTTCATTTATCACTTTCTCTTTTGTGGAACATTTTAGTCCTATCATTGCAATCTGAATTTACCGCCACTTTCTGGGGTTTGAACATTGAGAAACTTTAAACATTGAAAACATTTGCATTCTTGTCTTATTACAGCGTTAGTTTGTTTCTCTTTTACATTGAACGTGGATTTTATTTATCTTGTGATTTGAATTTACCGCCACATTTTGGCACGGTTTTTGAACATTGAGTTCCTTGTATTTTTTTTATAAGTTCATTTTTTAAGTTCATTTTATAAGTTCATTTTTTAAGTTCATTTTATAAGTTCATTTTTTAAGTTCATTTTTTTAAGATCATTTTATGAGTTCATTTTTCTAGTTGATTGTATATTTTCTGTCACTACGATTTGAATTTACCGCCACATTTTCAGGCGGGATGTTTGAAATCAAGAATGTCCTGAGCTCATTTTTCTTACACCCCGACATCAGAGCGATGCTCCTTTTGCTTCTTTCGTCCTTGTGTCCCTTCCGCCAGGTTTACGTACACGCAAACGCGCTCCCCGACTCGCGCTTCGAGGTCCAGGACTCATTTATTTGTCACGGGAGGACCGGTACAGGCTGGCTGGTTCTAGGTAAACGCTCGTTCGTGCACGAGGCGTTATCTAAGAGCGTGGCGAAGCACTCTCTCACGAGGAGCACCGACACCGACTATTTCTTCGAGCACTCGCGTGGCCATTGCGACGATAATCGAGCATCCCGCGTGAAATCGAAATGCAACACTCGGTAGCAATATACCGATCGATTTGCTTGTTTTACGGGTTGCCGCGAACGAAAAGTGGCGATCAAAATGTAATTCCGTATAAAACGTCCGCGTCTTTCAACGCCGGCTCGACGTGTTTCTTTACGATGAATCAACGCGACATCGACGAATTAACGTCGCAGCTTGAAACGCTGTTGGCTCGTAAGTCGTTGATAATGGCCGCGTATTGATCGTCCAAGGATCAAGGGACTTACACGGTTTCGCTTGGAGAAACCGCCGCGTTCAGGGCGAGGCTTATCGACACCTAAATGCGCGTACGAGCGTCGAATGGGCTTTTTACTCGACCGCTGCGAACGCATTTGTTAGATGAGAGGATGCCGTGGAGACTAAATCCTTCTGCGGGCTTCCACCGTTGAATTTATTGGCGCCATTGCAGCAGGTGGTCACGCGTGTGTTGCGTGCCTGCGAATTCTTTACGATCGCCGCGGATTTCCCGGCATGCCAAGGCATCGTTAATCACGTAGATTATGGACGGAAAAACTGTGCAGTTTTATCGATACGCACGGCTTCTATTGATACGGTTATCCCTTTTGCCGTGAACAAGTTACGCGTACATGCGCGAGGATGCCGTATATATCGAGGGTCTATGTTATTTTCTTAAAATATAACAAAGGACATTTTTGCTCTTGTCCTGTGACTGGTAGCCTCGCTGCAATAACATCCAGCCGGCTGTAATTGCAAATGGTTACCTGTTCCATGTTGAATGTCTTTCCTATGCTTGCACGTGCAAATATTTTTGATGACAAAGAACATTGTGAATTTTTATGAAGCTACATTTTTTAGATATACTCTAGGAGGTTATATGAACGTCTTTCAATGTGAAATTTATTTACTGAGGATTTATGTAGAAGTCGTTCGCGACAGGTTTTATAGTCGTGGCTTAAACAGTAATTTAAATCTTGTTACCTAAACTGAAATAGTACTTTTGTTTTATACAAGTAGCAATTTAAATGAAATTTCAAAAAGTGTTCCTCTTAGTGGATGAATAGATGGACTTCAAATTTTTTGTTCTAGCTAAGAAATTTCTATCATGTAGAAGCTAATTTATTATATTACGTATTACATGTTAAATGCTACATATTATATGTTACATATTAAACACTACATATTATATGTTATATATTAAATACTACATATTATGTTTTACACACTTGGTATTACTATTAAGTATCACACACTTGGTAAAAATAGTCAACTGCACTTCTTGAATTTCTTAGCAACAGTACCAAAGAACTTGATTCCTAACAAAACATCAAAACGTCCAAACCAAGTAGCACTTCCACATAACAAAATTAATTAACTGTCAAATGAACAGCTCCACATAAATTACGCGTACTAACCCTCCGAAGTCCAACAGTACACGCAAGTCCCGCTACCAGTTTGAAAAATTGTGACGAGACTCACCGCCCATTCAAAAACGCCATGACCATACAAAAATCACGTAGCTAAAAATCGCCCGCAAACGGTCCACGGATAAGGACTCTCTCGAACATAATCGAAGAACCGCATCAAGTTTGCTTGTTCTTAACCTTGCAGGACGTTCGGAGCAAAGTGTGCAAAGTGTGGACGTAGCGTCGGCGCGGGTGACTGGGTCAGAAGAGCCCGAGAGAGGGTTTATCATTTAGCCTGTTTCGCCTGCGACGCGTGTTCGCGACAATTGTCAACGGGGGAGCAATTCGCCCTTCTCGATGCCCGGTTGCTCTGCAAGGCTCATTATCTGGACGTCGTCGAAGGGAACAATACCTCCTCCGATGGTGAGGCTTTCAAGATGCTTTGTATAATATCTACTTTATAATTATTTCCGAGTAGCTACGAGTTTCCCGGGTCGTTTAAATTTAAGAGCAGTCTCCATTTACTATCCGATAACTGAATCGAATGGTAAGATGGAGGCGTAGCGGTGGATGGGGCACCCCTAATTGGTACTTTCGCAGAAGGCGGTGACTCCGAGAGCGGCCACAAAAGCGGTAACAAGGCGAAGAGAGTGAGAACCACGTTCACCGAGGAACAACTTTCGGTTCTTCAGGCTAACTTTCAACTAGACAGCAATCCGGATGGTCAAGATCTGGAGAGGATAGCGCATGTGACGGGACTCAGCAAAAGAGTTACGCAGGTTTGGTTCCAGAATTCTAGGGCGAGGCAGAAGAAGCATCTGCACACGGGCAAAACGAAAGGGCAACACGGTACTTCTTGTGTTTGTTTATTTCAATAATCTTTAAGTATCACACACTTGGTAAAAATAGTCAACTGCACTTCTTGAATTTCTTAGCAACAGTACCAAAGAACTTGATTCCTAACAAAACATCAAAACGTCCAAACCAAGTAGCACTTCCACATAACAAAATTAATTAACTGTCAAATGAACAGCTCCACATAAATTACGCGTACTAACCCTCCGAAGTCCAACAGTACACGCAAGTCCCGCTACCAGTTTGAAAAATTGTGACGAGACCCACCGTCCATTCAAAAACGCCATGACCATACAAAAATCACGTAGCTAAAAATCGCCCGCAAACGGTCCACGGATAAGGACTCTCTCGAACATAATCGAAGAACCGCATCAAGTTTGCTTGTTCTTAACCTTGCAGGACGTTCGGAGCAAAGTGTGCAAAGTGTGGACGTAGCGTCGGCGCAGGTGACTGGGTCAGAAGAGCCCGAGAGAGGGTTTATCATTTAGCCTGTTTCGCCTGCGACGCGTGTTCGCGACAATTGTCGACGGGGGAGCAATTCGCCCTTCTCGATGCCCGGTTGCTCTGCAAGGCTCATTATCTGGACGTCGTCGAAGGGAACAATACCTCCTCCGATGGTGAGGCTTTCAAGATGCTTTGTATAATATCTACTTTATAATTATTTCCGAGTAGCTACGAGTTTCCCGGGTCGTTTAAATTTAAGAGCAGTCTCCATTTACTATCCGATAACTGAATCGAATGGTAAGATGGAGGCGTAGCGGTGGATGGGGCACCCCTAATTGGTACTTTCGCAGAAGGCGGTGACTCCGAGAGCGGCCACAAAAGCGGTAACAAGGCGAAGAGAGTGAGAACCACGTTCACCGAGGAACAACTTTCGGTTCTTCAGGCTAACTTTCAACTAGACAGCAATCCGGATGGTCAAGATCTGGAGAGGATAGCGCATGTGACGGGACTCAGCAAAAGAGTTACGCAGGTTTGGTTCCAGAATTCTAGGGCGAGGCAGAAGAAGCATCTGCACACGGGCAAAACGAAAGGGCAACACGGTACTTCTTGTGTTTGTTTATTTCAATAATCTTTAGCGAATTTTCATTTTATCGAGGACACTATAGATTTATTGTATCGTTGCGTTCATTTGCGCGGTAGTCCTTAGTGCAAAGCGGTAACTCATATATTTGGGAAAATGTGATATACCTGGATATTACAATGCGACCCGTTTAAATCGATTCTTGAACTACCAGGAAATTAATAGCAGTTGTTAAATACTTATATGGTTATACAAAAGGCAACCTCTGTAGATATACGCTTAGCTAACTCTTTAGTTTTCCTGGGCTTTTCCTAATCGTTTTATTACACCTATGAATGCGATACCCTAATATTCTTGAATGGGGTTTCCATTGTAGAGCCACGGTGCATAGAATTTAAAGGTTATTTGGAAATTTGAAATTTAGGTTATACAATGTTGAGGAATTTGGGACTTGGGGTTACTTTGAGAGTTACGGAATTTAGGAATTTGAAAATTTGTAGATTTGGGATTTAGGAATTTGGAGGCGGGGATTCAGAAGTTTGAGGATTAGAGAGTTTGAAGAAAAGGGAATTTGAACAATTAAGAAAATTTGAAAATGTAGAAACGACAATTAAAAATATAAAATAGAAACAGGGAAATATTAAACATGTTTTTATCTGTTACAGTCCATCAATCACCCCCAAACTCGACGACATCCACAGGCGATTTCAGTCGGCACATCAACTTGCATTTGACCTATTCCTTTCAACATCAGCAACAACACCACCACAACCAACAACAGCCTCAGCTAAGTCCAGCGTGCAAAAGTCCCACGCCTTCGATTTATCATAATCACGGTAAGAATCCCTCAAATGTCTTTTGTAAATATTTTTAAACACCAATTAGTGATAGCTTTGAAAACTTAATATTGATCAAATTCATAGAATGTTAAAAGTTAGTTTGAATTATTAAATTTTTGAAAAAAAAAGACAAAACAAAGTTTTGCTTTAAAAAGGTCTACTCTCTATCGCAACTCCGTCAACTCTGTCTTCAGGCTCGGAACAATCGATGGACGAACTATCGCAAGACTCGATGATGTTGTCGATGCCGAACGAGGTTTAATCGTCGTTACTGGATTAGCTGTATTGTAAATACTCGTCATCTTAGCGTTAAGGTTTTCTTCTTGGTTTCCGTATCATGAATCCTTCTCGGTGAACGCAGTTATTTTCTTCTCACGTTTAGAACCGTCCCGTTTAATTGCATTCGTGATTAAGCTGCTTGTGTCAAATCTGTATTTCAATGACGTACATAACTTATTATGTGAATTAGTAACATATTAAAAATTTTAGCGAAACACAGATATTGAAAGTAATTTTTAAATTATGAAAAGACAGAAACTTTATACAAATTATACTTTTGTTAGAAGTGCACTTAGAAGTATAATTTTAAGTTATTAAGAAATTTTATTTAAGAAAAACAAGGTTCAAAGTTTTGAAAAACATTTGAGTTTCTATTTGCTTCTATGATATCGTAACGTACTACAGACCTGCGATATACAGCGAGGTATCTAAAATTCGACGCAAGCGGCTTAATCCGAAACGCATAGAGCATGTACAAAGAGACGATGAAGGATATTCCTTCCACGTTTAATTCTCGTAGGTCTAAGTTGTTTAAGTTAAACTAACGTTTGTGAAACGTTAATCGACCGGATTAACGCGCGACAAGTATTTATTTGATAGATCGATCCTTCGCGAGTTTGATCGGAGAGAAGACAAATCGAGGTCGTTAAAGCGAATACCGTAAGATTTTGAAATCCGCCCAACACGTTGTTAATTAAGATTTCCAGCAGGACATAGAGTCAGCAAATTTTAAGACTGGTTGACGGTACAGCTTTATCGCGCTCGATGTTAAGCTTATTATGAATGAGCGAGTACGTTTAACGTTCCATGTTACGCATGAACAAATCCGCGTGCACCGATATGCCAGTGAGTTCCGAGTCGCCATTTTTTCTTGTAATCGACGGAGATCGATTCGTTGTTTTGACTCGATTGACCCTTTCCTGCAGGCTTTTATAATTCCTCCGACCACAAAAAGTTGTTTGAAACATTCTTAATCTCTTCAATACTTTAGACTAATTTATTTAAAAAATATATGGATATGTTTTTTGCTGAACTTACATGATCACAGATTTAAATTCAAGAAAATATTAACCATTTAATATAATATTAATAATTAAAAAATAACCTAAATTAATTGAAGAGGTTAAATGTAGATAGTCAATTTTTAAATAGAATTAATTTAGCATATACCTTGGTCACTTCTGTATCTTCCAATCTTGTGTATTTTTGTCAACAAGAGATTCTGTGGTTGGACCGCCATTTTGTTTTGAGGCGTCTTAAGACGCAGTCAGGATCGAACTTAACTCATTCACTGCCTGTCAGAATCTTTGCATTGCAAATTTTATTTTGAGAAAAACATAGATTTTCACAAAATATATTCAGTTGCAGATATACTAAAATTACAGTAATAAAAACACTATGATATCTCTGGCAGTGAATGTATTAAACCTTGATACGAAAAGATATCATTGAGTTTAAATTAATTCGGAAAGGGTCAATGGTAAGTCCTGAGATGTATAAAAGAGCAGAGGTCTTTCGCGTAAAGAAGCGATAAATGTAATTTTCCTTCTTTGAACAGATACGAAGTGTTCTCGCTTTCGTTAATTTTTGCGAAGCAGTCCGATGTGATCAGACTATTATCTCGATTAAGATTAACGCGAACGAGAAGTGAAAGCTTTTCGAGATCTCGAAGAACATCCGAAAGCAATGTTCCGAATGAAAGTATCTTTTACAGTATTTAGGTAACTGTGTATTCGTGAAAGACTCATTATTTAATATACGTGTACTGTGATGTAAATATTGTAAACTAAGTATATATACATATATACATATATATATATATACAATATAAAAATGTTGCACATATCCTGACAATTTTTTTTTTCCCACCTTTGTACGAGCGGAGGTTGAAGAAACGATACGAGATTAACAGTAAAAGACATTTTTATTAATAACAGTACGGTTTACAGTATTGCGGAAGTGAGTGTACGATACAAGGGCGATATCAAATACTCATGCACGATTTCCTTACAATTTATATACAAAAACTACAAGATATGTCTATGTACAGTTTCATTTGTGGAAATTAAAAGGGATGTACGATAAGAATTTGGAAATTGTTAGTTATCCTTTTAGTTTGAGGGGAGTGCATGGCTTTTGCGTCAAATTCGAACTTTACACGATTATAGAGGGACATAATTTTGCAAAATTATAGCAATTCTTAAAAATGGGAACGATATTGCAAAGTTCTTGGGTGGTGTTATAATTTAGAGATAAGTTGAAGATAGAAAGTTGTTACTGGCCCAGGGAAATTTAGAATTATACAATTAGAAATTTCAGGATTCAGGGTTTAGAGGTTATGAAGGATAATTAAGGACATTAAACATTCAGAAACTTAATTTTCAAAAAACTTAAAATTCTTCAGAAATCAAAATATTTTTTTTTAATACTATAATTCTGCAAAATTATTGCTTATCTCTCAATCACGCACTCTCCACGCAATAAATATACCACCAATAAAGTCCGTCGATTGCACTTACGTAAAACGTACAAAACATCATTTTCCAAAGAACTTCGAACTAAGAACTATTACAATCGAAACGCAATAAATAATCACCTTCGTCTATTCATTAACTACAATCCTCACCAATCAAATTATCCTATTTATATTATCACCATTGCTCCTTATTTTCCAAACAGTTTTTGGTATGTACAAAAAAGAGGAACCTCACGGTTCGTTCACTCTCGTCCTAGAATTCAAAGAGATTCTCCAGAAAAATACAATGAAAAACCTAACATTGTAAACAAATGAAAAATTTGCTTCCTCCCTGAGAATCTAGGATCTTGCTTTTATCTTCGAGTGTTACAACATAGTCTGAAAAGATTGTTCAAAGACTGTGTCGTTAGAATGTCTCTGTAAACTCGGAATAAATCACCGGTGTTCTTGGACGAGTTTCATGAAAATTACCCCGTTTGATGACAGAACTGGGGTTGAAGGTGATTCGGCGTCGTGGGTGTTAAAGGTGTTAAAGGGGTGAGCGGCGTCAGCGGACTTCCGGGACTTTCGCTTCCTGCGCTACCACCCTGATATCCACCCAAATAGGCGCCCACCATGTTCACCCCAGAAGGATAAAACTCTCCTGGATGATGCTGCATCGGTGGCGAATGGTGCACTGGGCATGGAATTAAATCTTCTTAAAGACATATCTACGGGGATATGCAACGTGTAAAATACTAAAGCATTATCGGCTTAGCCGTTCACTTAAACCTTGATTATAATGCACATGAATTTATTCAAACAAAATTTAATTTCGTAACATCGTCGCCTTAGTTCGTATCTCTCATTCGTATAAAAATATAAGTTCACTTGCAATGTGATATAATTTTACATAGAAAGAAGATAATATAAAACGATACGATGACATATGACTAAAATTCTAAATGGAAAGTAAATAATAGTATTTTACAAACTACCCGAAAATAAGACAGAGAATCCATTAAAGAACTACAGCGACGATATACGCCATTTTGTCCAACAAGCAAAAAGGCACAAGACTACTCACTTTGTGTTTTAATCTTGCCGCTATGTTTCTTTTGCCTGGCCCTCGAGTTCTGGAACCAGACTTGCGTGACCCTTTTGCTGAGACCCGTGACGTGTGCTATCCTTTCGAGGTCCTGTCCGTCGGGGTTGCTGTCCAACTGAAAGTTGGCTTGCAAAACGGAAAGTTGTTCCTCGGTGAAGGTCGTCCTGACCCTTTTCGTCTTGCTGCCCTTCCCTCCGTGTTCCGAATCGCAGTCCTCCGAGGACGAAGTGTTGTTCCCTTCGACGACGTCCAGATAATGAGCCTTGCAGAGCAACCGGGCATCGAGAAGGGCGAATTGCTCCCCCGTTGACAATTGTCGCGAACACGCGTCGCAGGCGAAACAGGCTAAATGATAAACCCTCTCTCGGGCTCTTCTGACCCAGTCACCCGCGCCGACGCTACGTCCACACTTTGCACACTTTGCTCCGAACGTCCTGCAAGGTTAAGAACAAGCAAACTTGATGCGGTTCTTCGATTATGTTCGAGAGAGTCCTTATCCGTGGACCGTTTGTGGGCGATTTTTAGCTACGTGATTTTTGTATGGTCATGGCGTTTTTGAATGGGCGGTGAGTCTCGTCACAATTTTTCAAACTGGTAGCGGGACTTGCGTGTACTGTTGGACTTCGGAGGGTTAGTACGCGTAATTTATGTGGAGCTGTTCATTTGACAGTTAATTAATTTTGTTATGTGGAAGTGCTACTTGGTTTGGACGTTTTGATGTTTTGTTAGGAATCAAGTTCTTTGGTACTGTTGCTAAGAAATTCAAGAAGTGCAGTTGACTATTTTTACCAAGTGTGTGATACTTGAGAGTAATACCGTGTGTATAAAACATAATATGTAGTATTTAATATGTAACATATAATATGTAGCATTTAATATGTAACATATAATATGTAGCTATTAATATGTAACATATAATATGTAGCATTTAATATGTAACATATGTAATATGTAATTTAGCATGTACATAAATGACTTGACCTATGCATTGGAGTGATAAATCCTGAAACTTGCAAGAAGTCAAAAGCATCCCCCGAGAGATATTCGTTAGCCATAAAAGTAAGTAGAATACAGTGAAACTAATGGTAGACTAACGGATTAGTATCGGAATTCGAAAAGGAAGGAGACAAAAAAGAAGAAGAAACAAGAGGCTATTTTGGTGAGGGGCTGCAGGTTCATTGAGGACCTCCGTGGGTGCAAGAGAATCCAATGGTCCTGTCCTCATTAACATACTACTCTGGCAGCCGATGTCCTTTGGAGCGCATCAGGGGCGCGAACCACCGGAATCGGCTTCTCGCGATTCGCCCAACAGATTACGTCGAGATTATCTCGACGTCTCAGTCCTGTGCTTTCTCCCTTGGCCTACAAATGACTCGTGGCCTTTGATTTTCTACCGACGGCAAACTGTACGCGTTTCGCGGCCAAATATTGAACCACCGTCTTAGACTACCTGTACGGTAGCTGACTTCGCTATCTGACGCTTCTATCATTCAGTCATCTCCAATTATATAAATTAGCAGGATAGGAAAAATTCATTAAACGCTGATGTGCACTTGTGTGAAGATGATGCACTCGTGTGTGAACATTTAGAATTCTATCCAGTCATATAATAAGTAATTTACACCGATTCCAACAATGAATATATTTCTAAATAACTGATTTACACAGGGTCTTAAATAACTGATGATATTCCAATGTTAAATCGTATCTAACAGTAAGACTATTCGTAACACGAAGAAAAAGGAGGGAACGCTCTAGAATAAGAGAAGCAGAAGAAAAGGAAGAACAAGGGTTTGGTTATTGTATGGAAAAATATGGTAAGCTACGGAAGGATTAGTTTGCCGACGAATTGCATCGTCATCGTCGTCGCATCGAAGATATTTTCGGGCATTATTGGTTATGGTGATCGTGTACGGGGCACGCCTAGAAGCACGTACACGAACTCCATAGGATTCTATAGGCAAAATGGAACGGGCTATTTGTTTATTCTTATTTGCTAAGTTATAAACTTTCAATACTGCAAATTATTAAGTTTAATTTAATGTAGGGCTTTGATATTTATAGAATTTGAGAATTTTTATAGGGGTTTAGAAATTTAATAATTTGGCAATTTAGAAATTTGGAGATTGTTATATTTGTATTTGGAAATTTGTAAAATAACAAAATGCGAGAATTTAGGGGTTTGAAATTTTGAGAATTGCGAAATTGGAAATTTGGTAACCTTGATCCCACTATTTGGGATTTAGTAGAATTTAATAATTTTGAGGATTGGGAAGAGCTCCTCTCTCTTAGGAATTTAAGAATCCTTGAAACATCAAAAGTAACCTGAAAACCCAAAAATTTTCAAACACTTCCTCATCCTCAATCCATTTCGTAAGCAAACGGAAGCTGAAATCCGCAGCATAAGAAATTTGGTAAAAATAAAGAAAAGCAGAGAAACGAGGAACCAACGGTGCCCGTTGATGTTCAGTGAGGTGTCATTAGCATAAATAGTAGCGCCACCCTTTCCTCTTCTGCGGCGTTTACATCGGATAACCGAAAAAGAGAAGGGTAGACTGCAGAAGGCTCCTTATAACAAGCACCGGAGAACTGGTTGGTATTGGGTGTCAATAAATCTTCAGGGCCGTACATCGGCTACCAATCGACCCCGCCCTAATTTATTCATTTGTTCTTCCACATAGGCGGGCCCTATAAGTCAACGGGGGATTAAGTTGGGCGCTATCCGACCTCAGCACGGTACAATTCACCGTCCCTTTTACTCCCATAAAGACTGTTCGACGTCTCGAATCGCGGATCGAGATCGCGATCTTCGATATCGTTCGAGACACGCATAGATACAGCCAAATAAATCATCTCGACGTATTTTATACTCCAGGAAATCTTCTAAATACAACTATGTATACAATATAATAATTACAGAAGATATTTACAGAAATAATACAAATATTGATACAACCATAAACGAAACGATGCGAAGATCGTCTAAATCGGCGTGTAAAGCGAATCGCCGGGTTCAAAGACATTTTTCGGCGGGTGTAGGTATTCGCATTTAAGTGCCATTAAGACAGAAACGATAAAGGTCGCGATTAAAGCGACCGGATTCGAATGTCGCGAACTACGGCCACACTGAATTAAGAGAACCGGAATTTCGATGCCGGGACGAGACTAATAGAGCGATTTCTGGTTCACTCGCTGCTGAACCCAGGGATCGTTTTATCATTTTTCCATCGAAGCACGAGGAAATGATCGTAGAAGCCGGTGAATATTTATTAATTTAAAAGCCATGCACGCCTGAAAACCGACACGAGGGTGGACGAATGAGAGAGATGCGTGATGGCCTTACGAAGCGAATTCCTTAGTCAGCTAGAACGGTGACGGGCACAGTTGCCCGGGAGATCGAGGGACAAGTGGCGCGCATTCGTTGGATGGATACGCAATTTCGGAGAATTTATCAAATTTTAAATTCTTTGGTTTTACAAATTTTAAAAGTTAGAAGTTCTATCATTTTTTATTGCGAACTGTGAATTTTTTGGGGTTGAGGGTGGTCAAGTCTGAAATTTGTAGTAAAAAATTATTGAGTTCAAGATGTTTGAAGTTGTAAGATCTCAAGATTTGGTAGAGACGAGGTTGATACGCAAATTACGAAAGATCAAATTCAAGGAATTCCAAAAAAGTGTTAAGCGTTCAAATGATTAAAAAGTGCAAACCCCTAAGTTTCCGAATTACCAAAGATTCCCAAATTCCTCAATTCACGATCTCTTTAATTTCCAATCTCCCAAATTCCCAAACCCTCAAATTCCCAATCTCCCAAAATTCCAATCTCCCAAATTCCCAAACCCTCAAATTCCCAATCTCCCAAGTTCTCAATCTCTCAAATTTCCAATCTCTCAACATTCCCAATCTCCCAAGTTCCCAATCTCTCAAATTTCCAATCTCCCAAATTCCCCATCTCCCAAATTCCCAATCTCCCAAATTCCCAATCTCCCAAATTCCCAAACCCCCAAATTCCCAAATTTCCAAATATCCCCCAATTCCCAAAGATCCCTTCCCAAATTCCCAAAAATCCCTTCCAAGCCCCCAAATCCCCAAACCCCAAAACCGCCAACTTCCCAATGTCTCACCCACCGAAAAAGTCCCACAAAAAGAAGGTATACGTTTCGAAAGCACGGTTCCGTTTGTACCGAAAGGCGGCGCCCGTCGATCGAAGAAGCATAAACGTTGGGTCGGATCGGTTATCCCTCTCTTTTTCTCGAAGAACCCGTAACCGCGAGAAAAAGTCAGTTGAGATGTCCTTTATTCGTGCATCGGTCCAGCTTCAACGTCGCAACGTGACTCGCAGCTCACGCGTGAGGATGCATGGTACACGTATGTCCGTTGACGTGAATAGCCGACTGTACGTGAGGTCCAAACAAGAAGAAGAAGACGAAGAAGAAGAAGAGGAGGGTGTAGGGGACGCAGGGCAGAGGGGACAGAACCGAGAAGACTACATCGGAAGACATTAATCACCCACTGGCGAATCTCTAACACGAAGCCCATACGTCGATTACGCGTGTACGGATATCTGTTCATCTGCGGGCATATATGTGCCCTCGTGACAGCCACGTGACTCCGATACGCGATTGTTTTAAATATTGTACTTTTTGTCATGTGTGACCTGCAACTTCTGTTGGGTTTATTTATAGATTAAGGGAAGACACTTTTGAGGACTCTTAATGTTCGGACAATGATGTGCACTGGTAGATGAAGTTGAAAGATTAAGTAATCTTGTTCTTAATTTGTAGTAGTTTGACTACGAGTCAGTTACTGTGGTGCTCATATGTGACACTGCAAGTTCAGTTAAATTATTTTCAGATATGCAAATGACACTTTTGAGAACTCTTAATATTGAGACAATGATATACATTTACTGATGAAATTAATTAACTCTTGTTTTTAATAATTTGTTATAGTCTAACAACAAACGGTACTTCAGCAAGTAGCCGATTGGTCTAAAAGGAAAGAAAGGTAGCTTGAACGTTTTAGCGAGTCACGAAGTTATAATCCAGATCGATACGTTTCAAAATCGATCCCGGGGGGATGTTGGGTGGAATCTTTTGAAACCGACTGCTCGACAGGGTGTCCCGAGATATCGGTTATGCCAGTGTCAGCGTACTCCGCGAGAACTGTCCCGTAAGTCGAATAAATGATCGCTCTTTCCAGAAGCTCCCGAGTGGTAGTCGAGAAACGTCCTCTTAAGCTCGTCTCTACTCACCGGTTACGTACCAGTGGGGTGTCTCCGACAGAATATCATTGAACGCATCGATAATCCCTCGTGTTGCTTTTAGATTATCGAGACAACTGTCGATTATGATCGACTAGTTCTTCGCTAAATGATTTAGGTACATGGTAGACGGGTATGAGATAGGAGAGATATATGGACATCAAGGTTATAATCGGTTGTGGTACCTCGAGAATAAGGTGTATCTTGAGTAGTTCAAGGAGCTTGAAATTTGAGAATTTTTAATTTGGGAGACTTTGGGAGCTCAGAGATTCTCAAGGCCTTTGGTTTTCAAATTTCCAAATTGTCAAATTCTTACATTTACATATTTCCAAATTTTACAGATCTCCAAATACTCGAATTCCCAATTTTCCTAAATTCTCAAATTCTGAAATTCCTAACTTTGCTGAATCCCCGAATTCTCAAGTCCTCAAGCTCTCGAGATCCCGAATCCCCAAATCTCCAAATTCTCATATTCCCATATTCCCATATTCCCAAATCCCTAAATTCTCAAGACCCAAGCTCTCGAGATCCCAAATCCCCAAATCTCCAAATTCTCATATTCCCATATTCCCAAATCCCCAAATTCTCAAGTCCCCAAGCTCTCGAGATCCCGAATCCCCAAATCTCCAAATTTCCAGATTCCCATATTCCCAAATCCCCAAATCCCCAAATCCCCAAATCCCCAAATCCCCAAATCCCCAAGTTCCCAAGCTCTCGATGTCCTCAAGCTCTCGAGATCCCGAATCCCCAAATCTCCAAATTCTCATATTCCCATATTCCCAAATCCCCAAATCCCCAAGTCCCCAAGCTCTCGAGATCCCAAATCCCCAAATCTCCAAATTCTGCTATTCCCAGATCCCCAAACTTCCCAACTTCCCCAAACCCTCAGCTCCCAATTTCTCAAGTTCACCCCCAAATCCCCAAATCCTCAACTCTCCAAAATTCCAGCCCTCTCAATCTAAAGAAGTCTAACTTTCCAAATTAAAAGATCCCCTGGCGCTTGTTTCTGCTGTATCGTCACATCTCTCAGGGCGCCTACAGTGTCCCTCGACCAAGGTTAAACCCTGGCGCTAGCTATCGGTTTCGACCTTGTAAATAGAAATCTCTGGTACTATTATACTTACAGGGCGTAGTCGTGCCTGCAATAAAGTCTCATCCCTCGGAGGAAACACGAATGTTGATCGTGCAACGGTCTCGCACAGGCGCAACACTTGAGGCACCTGGAATGCCAGGTACGACCCCCTACACAGAGGACGGTGCGTTCGCGAACGCTTTCGCCGCAACCACCGCAATCCATTTCCATTCCATCGTGACCTTCGTTGTTTCCAATACCGGTACCGATCTTCTTGCTGTTAGTCACGTTGTTGTTGTTATTGGTAGTTGTGTTATTGTTGTTGTTCGAACAGAGGATACTGTCCGTGCACTCTGGGTCTGTCTCCACTTCGGTCTGCAACGAGATTATTTTATGATGAATGTATTCAAATGATGAACATAATGAAAAAGGAAGAGATATTTGGAAGATTGCGGGTTCTTTTCTTAAAATTAGTATTGAAATGATGAACATGAAAAAGAAAGAAAAGATATTTGAAAAATATCTTGCGAGTTCTTTTGTTAAAATTAGGGGATGCTTGATGAAGGCCATGAACTTTGCGCATAGACAAGTATTCATTAATTCTTATATAATTTTCTGAATAACATATGATATTAAATATATTATTTATACGATACCGTTATTTAATTAAAATATGCAATTAGTTCTACTCTGCAATTATTTAATAAGACATGCAATTATTTTAATTCTTCTACAATTCTAAGAGGGTGAAACCGAAGTCGTAAAATGAACACAATGAAGAACGACAAGTCGAGTACTTATTAGCGTATATTATAGTCAAAATGAACTTGTCCGTAATCGTGGACAATTAATTTCGATTAATTAATTGATAATCCAGCGACACGATTTCTTTCCAGGCATGATCATGTCCGGAGGGGAAGAAAGACAACGAGGGGAGAGAAAGTCATTGTGAGTGCGTACAGATAAACTCGAGGATAACGTGTATCTGATCTGTATGCAACTTTTTCTTATCGCTGTCTCGGTACACGTGCTCTAACGCACACCTGTACATTCGCACACGCGAGTATGGTTTCGCTTCGATAATATTAATTGGTACACGAGTAACGCACAAAGGTTATTGTTCGACGCAACACGCGGTCATGAATTTGGGGCTAGGGACAAAATGGTTATCATAACCTTCATTTTTCAAATTTAAATACAAAGAACGACGCTGAATCTGGATTAGGGCGCTTGGGTACTCGCCAAACATTTTTAAATTGCCCGCCATTGTACGACGTGTCTAAAAAATGGGATGTGCGAAAGAGGTTATGTTCGGTAAATTATTTTAAAGTACTTAGTGTTCAATTATTTATGCTATTAATATTGAACACTATATTGCTAATTCTTTTGCAATTTTTTAAAAATAAAATAAAGAATGTATTATAATAAGTTGAAATATCAGATTGCAATTTTTTAACTTAAAACCCTCAAAGTTAAATAAAAAATACTGTAAGAAAATAATAAAGAACGAAGCATAAAATATTCTATATCTTATATACATTGATCTTATATACATTTGACAGCAAAATTAAACAAAATGGCTTCGGTTATAAGTATGAGTTTAGCTTTCTACGCGAAAAGAATGCAAATAGCCTGAAATATTTGATTAAAATATAAGGGGAAATTTGCCCAATCTGAAAGGGTATTTTCATACGTAAAAGTAAAGAAAGAGTACAGGTTCGCAATCATAAATTTCACCCCCGAACGGGTATTCACGATTCATCAGCGTCTTGGCTAGTTGTTCGCGGTGAAACCCGATGAATTTACATACGAATCGGCGAAAGAACAGGTCGTGAAAAGAAAGAAACGTCGAAAGAAAGATCCGTTGCACAACCGACGCATCAAGAAAGACAACATCGACGACAGCCAATTTCGAAGACGTGGTTCGTTCCGTCTTCATCGCGCCGTTCTTTCTCTCCTTATCGCGCCACCTTCCGTCGGCCGGTAATCATTTCACCTTTAACTGGACGGTCATTGATTTATGATCTGCCGAAGGCAAACTTAAACTTCCCACCTGTGATTTATACCTTCTGGCATTTCGATCTTCCCTCGGAAAGCGAGCCACTCGATTAATACCGTGTCTGGGCACATATTGTGGCCGTTCCGTTGCTCGATACCGCTGGAAGATCTCTGCTCAAGCGTGACCAATAATCTTGGATAGAAATTAATATCACGTGATATGTAGCCACTAATGAATTTAAGGGAATGTAACCCTCTTCCAAGTTCTGGTATTTTATGGGTGCAAATTAATTTGCGAACTTGACGAGTTAATCTTGCGTCGGAACCATGTGAGGAATTAAGTTTGAAGAAAAACCCTCTTTATGGCTTACAAATTTCAGTGGGTTTATTCTGGTATTTTATCTCAAATTTACTCCAAACTCATTTCCAAAGTTACTCTGACATTTCTTCAATTGCTACATCTTTCATATTTTTCCAAGTTCCAATTCATAAATCCACATCTCAATTTAAATCTCAAACTTCCGCAAAATAATTCAAATTCCAAAACCTCGAAACTACCCTAAAATTTTACTTTCCACTTTATTCTTAGAATTTATAAATTGTCTCAATGCATGACCCTAGAAATAAGTCGTAACTTCCTAAGAAAGTCATAACCCTAACCTCTAACTGAGGACCGATCATTTACACCCCTTGCAGAATAGCCCTATAACCCTCCAAAATTTGAATCAAAACCCCGCATAATTTTCGAATTCGAAGCAGACAATTTCCGTCGAAAGAACGATGGAATTTTTCAAAGTGTCGACGTGCTCGTAGGTGGACTCGGCCGCGAAGAACGCAATCAACGCGTAGTTAAGAAAGAATAATAGGAGTCATTTTTTATTCGTCAACACTTCGGGGGCGACGGAGATGAGCTGACAAAGTAAGAAATGCACGGGTGAAGGGGTCAAACGGGCTTTACCAGCCGACTACCGGATACCGAAGTTCCTCGTATACATCCGATTCGTCACTTGGCTACACGGATGGACGTTTAATGGCACGAGCGACCACCATTCCGACTGATTTATCGCCCTTATACGTTTCACCGGCCATCGTAAATAATTTTCGTGATATTTCAAAATTATCTCGACCGTCCTTACACTTCGAACTATCTATTCTTTTTTTAAGAGGAACGTTTGCACCTTGCGATTAACCCCTCAAATTTTTGTCACGATGTTCAAACTTTTATTAGCAGACTATTGTCAAGATCTTTCAAGACATTTTTATGAGTTAAATCTTTGTTGCGATTTACTTCAAGTATTCTGCTGTATGTGGTGTTTTACTTAATTTTAAAATTATTGTTTTTAAAACTGTACAATGAAATAAGATTTTTGTGGTATAATGTATATGCAACTATATTTGAATCAGTAGCTTAGATTGATGTGTTGTAACAACTTCTTCAGTCAATAACTTTGTTAATTTATTATTCTCGTTTTTTCATGCAAATAGTTCGATAGATTTCTTCAACCATACACATGATTCTAAATTAACCAAAATTCCTGTCAGAACCTTACAAATTTTCCTCACGATTGATCGTACAAATTTTTGATACTTTCGTATCGTTGAGTATATAAATATTACAAAAGTTAGAGGTAACTAAAGCTAATATTTTACTCGATATCTTCGAACATGTTTCTTTAGACAGCAGACTTTCCATAAATAGAATGATTTGTTAAGAAATGATAAAATATGAAATTTTCGTTTTCATTGTAACCGAAACCGGTGAAGTAAAAATCGTGACTAAAATTAGAAGGAAATGACAGCAAAATATTAAGAGTAAAAACGGACACGTATTTCATTAACTGAAAATGTGACCTTCTACAAGAACACTTTTTAATATACATCAACAAAATACCAAGAGAACTTAAATTTCTCGTATATTTTCCATTTTTTTAAGATGCAAACAGATCACACCTGTTTACACATTTCGTGCGTAATTCGTGTATTTTCGCGAAAGCGCACTATCTTCGACAGCAAATAATCGAACGCTTTATCGATCGATCGTTAATGAAGCGTGTAAAATTATAGACAAAAATAGCGCGTCATTTGTTTGATTTTTCACTGCAGATAAATAGAAAAGTATCGACAATTATTTGTTTTAACATGATTCATTTATTAAAAATTATCCGATACGATTCGTTTGCCAAACGTCACTAAATATTTACTAAATATGCCGTTACAGATATTACTATACTAAATTTAGGATATTTAGGAATTTGAATGTGGAGCTGCAGTAATTTGGAGATAGAAATTTGCGGGTTTGGAATCTAGGGATTTTAGTATTTGGAGATGTAGGAATTTGGGGATATTCGAATTTGAGGGTTTAAAATTAGGGACGTAAGAGTTTAGGGTTAACAGAATTTGGGAAATACTAATTTTAATATTTAGGAATTTGGGGATATAAGAATTTAGGGGTACAAGAGTTTGTGGAAATACAAATTTGGACATTTAGGGATTTGGGGATTTAGGAATTTGTAGATTTGGATATTTGGGAACACAGCAATTTCAGTATTTAGAGACTTAATAATTTAGGAAATTGGAGATTTAAGAATTCTAAATTGCAGGGAAATTGGAGATTCGTGAATTTGGACATTTCATAACTTATAAACTTGAACATCCTAAAATTTAAAGACGTAGAAATTGTAAAACTTGAAAGCTCCAACTCACAAGTTAACGAACTTGAAAATTCAGAGTTGCTACTAAAACTAAGTTGTACTAAAAACTTAATAAATTTTCTAATTAAACAATTTGATCATTCACAAGCTACAGAATAAAAACTCCTCTGTCAAGAACTTCCAAAAATCCACACAAACCAACTCACCTTCATCTTTCCTCCTCGTAACCACCTAACCACGAGTGTTTGCCATAACCAGCCGAAAGACTCAGTCCGTCACACGTGTACACGAGATGTTCGGGCAACGTTCACAACACTGCATCGAGTAACATGGTTGAACGAGTTGACTTGAAACAGCGTCCACGAGTAATTGGATCAGAAAGAAAATCGTCCGAGTGAAAAAAGTTGTTGCGTAAGATCGAAAACGATCGGAAAACACCCTGTCCGGATCCGTGGCCCGGGGAAGACTGGCATCCTCGATTCTGCCCCTACCACGCGGCCGATCGTCGACTGGGATCACGCACACCTACTAAAGCGTTTCTCTGTCGATCCGTACACACTCCGTGGTCGTAGTGTTCGTGCGTTAAAAGAGGAACACGGATTGTCGCGCTATAAGGCCAGCCAACGTTCTGGTGGGGAACCGTGTTGCGTGACTCGAGAGTTGTCTCGGGGTTGTTGGTGGCGCTAGTTGGCACAAGAAGGCTCTTCAGGACGAAGACCCTTTCGGAACAAGATCCAGGCTCCGCCCATTTCGGCCACGCCCATGTTCCGTGCTCGTATGCGCCGCCAGAACCACGGTTTCCGGGGGTTACATAGGTGGGAGCAAGTCTCTCCCTAGCCAAGAACGAATCACACTCGAACGGAATTTCTGCGGGGTGAGACGATGTTCTTCTTGCGGTCCGTTCTTCCTATTTTCTTGCGATGTATACCTTGTTTCGCCGATCCTTTTCTTATTCTATCATCCCCCACTCTCCCTCTGCTCTTGAACGCGTTTCCGTGTAACTTTCGTCGATCTTTCTTTTTCGGCTACGCGCACCTCCTCGTTTCGTTTGCTCGATGTTTCTGCGGGTTCGTACTCTTTCTTTTTCTCGCGTTTACGAGTGTCTCGTTGCTGTTGCTTTTTCGGACTCCGTATGCGAAATTCTAATTGTCGAGCTTTCTCTTTCCTGATTGTTTGCGTTAAGTTATTTTTCTGTACTGAACTCTTTATTGTTCGTATCTACAGGGTGTTTCATTTCTACCACTAATGTCAGCGTATTTTAATAAAAATAAGAGGTGTTACATATACAGTCGTGTTACCATTCGGCAGAATAAAATTGAAACACCCTGTATAATAAAATATAAAACATAAAGTATAATATAACCAGAAAAAAATACATAAAGTACAGTAGAATTAAAGCGCATCGTCAAAGATGAAAGTATAGGTGACGAATAATAGAAAAATTGCAAATAAGAAGTTAAAAATGATCTAAAAGTAGTATCGGCGTAGTAAGGTCAAGAAATGAGTCTCGGTTGTCCGTTTAGTTACGGGTTAGCAGCCCTTCACCCCCACATCCCCTCCCAGCATATTTACGCGTGGGTATATATTTTATATTCCGTCGTTTCCTTTTTATTTTCGATGAGTTTAGGTTCTCGAGGGGGTTCGAGCACCTGTTTGTATTTCTGCTGCGCCGACACATAAGTCATCCGAGAATGGACTAACGCCTTTTATCACCGCTATCCTTCTCTCGCGACTCTGTATCTTTCTCTATCGAGCCGAGCCACAACGAAAGGTGGCTTTGTGTGAGGCGAGCCCGAAAATACACGTTCACCGGTTTCTGTTCTCTAGTAGAGCGACCCGTATACGCCCACGCCCAAGATGAATATGAATTTTTCGTTTTGGGACCCCGAGAAAACTGTCAAACGGGTTTTCGGTCCCGATCCAACCACTTTTTATTGCTACCCCGTGCGCGCGTGTGCACGCATCCGTGAAATCCACTGTTTCTTGAATTATGCTCTGACATCGAGGAAAGGGATCGACGAAAATGGGGGGAAGCTAGGGAATTCTATGGCTATCGACGTCGCAGCAAATTTTCCGGGAACGCGACTGTTTTAATGTTTGAGATTTGAGGAGTTGGAGAATACTCCATACACCTAAATGCCCCACATCTTTAACACTAAACCTACCGGCATATAATGTGTACTTAATTTGGAATTAAAAATGAAGTTAAAAAATAAATAAACAAACAACGAAACATAAATTAGTACACACATTTATCCTTTATCAATTCTGATTTTAGGTAATGTATTTTAACAAAATGTGTTTGTTATAATAAGAAGCTTGTGGAGCGGTCATTTGACCGGCTTGGCAGTTTTAGTGTTAAATAACTCTCACTAATTGTCTGAAACTTAGGGAAGTGCACCTGAATACCTTACACTTCTGACTACCCATACCACCAATTGTCCAACACCAGTAAATGACTAATTCTGCGAGACCCACCGAAGTTCCATAAATGTCCCACACTCATAATATCCTATATCCCGAGAGTTCGACATCCCTAAATGACCCACACTACTAATTGTCCGAGACCTAGTGAAGTACACCTGAAAGTCCCACATTCATAATATCCCATATCCCAAAAGTCCGATATCTCTAAATGACCCACACCACTAATCGTCTGAGACCCAGCGAACTACACCTGGAGGTCCCACATTCCTAATATCCCATATCTCGAAAGTCCGATATCTCTAAATGACCCACACCACTAATTGTCTGAGACCTAACGAAGTACACCTGAAAGTCCCACACTCATAATATCCCATATCCCGAAAGTCCGATATCTCTAAATGACCCACAGCACTAATTGTCCGAAACCTAGCGAAGTACACCTGAAAGTCCCACACTCATAATATCCCATATCCCAAAAGTCCGATATCTCTAAATGACCCACACCACTAATTATCGGAGACCCAGCGAACTACACCTGAAAGTCCCACATTCCTAATATCCCATATCCCGAAAGTCCAACATCCCTAAATGATCCACACCCCTAATTGTCCGAGACCTAGCGAAGTACATCTGAAAATCTCAATATCCCATATTATAATTCCTAATATCCTACATCCCAAAAGTCCAACATCCCTAAATGTCCTACACTTCTAATTTCCCGAGACCTAGCAAAGAAACACCCACATATTCCTATCCTAGCAAAATTACTAATCCGATTCAGCCTCAAACCTTCACCGAAAGGGTTAAGCAAGCAAAAAGAAGTCGTCTCGATTTTTAAAGTTCCGAAGACAAATGCGCGTTATACGTTCCCGATACAGGCGGCATGGTTTAATTTATTAAACTCGTAGACGCGCGTGCAGAGGCTCGCGGGCACACGCGTGTATTGGAGGGCAGAAGCGTGTTTACGTGGCGAGGAACGAGCAACGGAGGAACAGGGTCGTTGCGATCGGCGGGGAACGAGCCATTAGTAACGCTTACCCGGCATAAAGCGAGAAAAATGGCAGTCGAATTATTCCGCTGGTGGGACCGAGGCTGGACAAAGGTCCTACCTCATGAGGACACGAGGAGAATCCTCGAAAAAGGAGCCACGGGGTTCCTATGGTGCCGATTCTGCCGAAGGGGACGTCCACGACACAGGCATTAATCGATACCATCGGGAATCGATGCTTCCTTTCTCTTGCTAGTATAATCGACGTATGAGTCTGACAACAATATCAACATTCTTCCGTCGTTTTCTTCGGGCGAAGTTTGGAATTTTGGAATTTGAGGAAGTGTGGTATTTTGGATTTGAATTGTGTGTTATAGTAGACACTGTATATTATAATAGATTATTACATTACAGCAGATTGTGTGTCGAAGTATTTGAAATACAGTAAATTGTATGTCACAGTATGTAATAAATTAAAGTAAATATTAGACTCTAACATACTCTAATAATTAGAGTATTTACCATATAAAGAATAATCTGTACTAATTGCTGCACTAAAAAATTGTACTAAAGCAAATTCATCCATCAGTCAAACTTGTTCAAATGAAGATGAATTAAATTTGCAATACCTGCTACATGAAACAATGTACTTGAACCCACAAATCAGTTAGGATATTAAAGAGGATGTTAGGCATACACAATTGTCAGCATAGCAAAAAAAGAATATTAAAATTTTGAGCAACATCAGTATACTTTTCAACCGATATAGCATTTTGATTCGACATGAATGTCCCGTTGAAAGGTCCAAGGTAAACTGAAACACAATGCACCGATTGTACGCTACGAGGTCACAGGAACGTCAAAATCAATGGTCCATCGAATGATTGATCTTCGAGAAAGAGAATCATGCTAGGTAGAATGAAGGAACCGTTTTGATAGCGGATGCCGGTGATCCTTACTCACCTGCAATAGCACAGGTCATTTCGTCATCGAGCGAGAATGTTATGACTTTCCTTAACGTGTTCGTACGAACGCGTCATGCTTAGAAATGATTCTTCTAAGTGTCGGTAATGTTTTTATAAGTTCAACTTTTATTCTATCGAAGTCCTGAATGTGGCAGATTTTTATTTAAGTATTTATTAATGATGGGGAGTTCTAAAAGTGGGGAGTTTGCGACAATGGGGGTGTGTTGTATGGGAATTATTTTGTGATAGGGAAAGTTAGGGAATTTGAAAGTTTGTTGAGGTGAAATTTTGGGTGTTTGAGAAGTTGAAAATTTGAGGATTTGACATTTTGCTAACTTCACAACCTTGTAATTTGATTACAAATTTACTTACTACTCTACATAATTGATACTTGCAAACTTAAATATTTTCAAATATATTAAACACAGGAATCAGAGAACGTAGTACTTAAAGAGTAAATCTAAAAATTCCCTAATCCCTAATTCCACTTCATATCAACTCTTAAACCACATTTCATCAAAAATTTCACCTTCCCACCACCACTCCATTAAATCTCCTAAATCCTACACTTCCACCCCTTACTTCAGCATAACCTTATTCTACAGTTCTCAAGAACTACAATTTTCTTGATCAATTCACAGCGTCCAATGTTTACAATTTCAGCGAAAGTTCAGCGAATTACGATAGAAATTCTGTCGGATGAGCTGGCGATTGAATTAGCAAACGTCGAGGAGGAAGTTTCGAAGAGTTCGGGGTCGGAGAAAAATGTCGCGAAAGCGTAGAATTTCTTTAGTGAGTGAAGGTAGTCGCGTTTGTCGCGTCAGAAGGATACAGCTGGCAAAGGCGAAACGAAGGTCGTCGAACGGTGGAGACGAAGGAAGGAAGGAGGGCTCGGTCGCGACGAGAGGGTGGGTTTCGTTAGGTTGGGCGCAGTTTTGATGATAACGAGCGGATTTGCAATCACGACTACATTGTGCAGGATCCTGCTGTTAGCTAACTTGAAGAGGGATGAAACTCAGACGGGCTGAGATCACAGAGCAGGAAGCCGGTAGTGCGACGCAGATGGAGAACGCGTTTGGGGAAGCTGTCGCGTGTTTTCTGTCCTCCTCGCACCTTCTGCGA